AATTTTTAGATTAGATTCTTAACCCAACATTCTGTTTTTTCTCTAGCTGAAAAGATTAAAAAGAAAATTAGATTTTCATTTTCCAAATATAAAATGTTTCTTCCTTATTGAGTAGTTACCAAGAAAAAAAAAAGAACCAACGATTTGGTTTTCTGTTATCATCAAGTAAGATGAAAATATTACGCAACATAAGGTTTAATAACATTAGGTATTAGGTCACATACTCACAATCTTCTTGACAAATAAATTTCTCAAAATCTTCTGATTGAACTGCCGGTTACTAATCTTAAAATCTTCCAACATAAGATTTGTAAAGTAAAATTTATTTAAAGTAAAAAACGATATTACCTAATATAGTTAAGTTTTGTTTTTGTTACTATCAAATGGAAAGTTATGATAATATGAACTAACTTTCGTTATTTTGTCTTACCTGTTATATTATATTTTGGAACTAAATTTCTCGTTTTTAAAAATGTTTGAAAGATTCGGGACGAGAATAAAATGGAAAGGATTATCCGTTTTGTAATCACAAATTTAAAGTAAAATTTATTTAACGTAAAAAACGACATTACCTAATATACTTAAGTTTTGTTTTTGTTACTATCAAATGGAAAGTTCTGATAATCTGAGCGAAGTTCTGTTATTTCTTCTTATCAGTTATATTATATTTTGGAACTATATTTTTCGTTTTCAAAAATGTTTGGAAGGTTCGGGACGAGAATAAAATGGAAAGGATTATCCGTTTCGTAATCGACAAATCTAAAGTAAAATTTATTTAAAGGTAAAAAACATCATTGCCTACTAAAATTAAGTTTTGTTTTTATTACTATCAAATGGCAAGTTCTATTAATGTGAACTAACTTCTGTTATTTTGTCTTATCTGTTATATCATATTTTGGAACTAAATTTCTCGTTTTCAAAAATGTTTGAAAGATCTGGGACGAGAATAAAATAGAAAGGATTATCCGTTTCGTAAACGACAAATTAAGGACGAGAATAAAATTTATTGAACGTAAAAAACAACATTACCTAATATAATTAAATTTTGTTTTTGTTACTATAAATGGAAAGTTTAGATAATCTGAACGAAGTTCTGTTATTTTGTCTTATCTGTTATATTTTATTTTGGAATTATATTTCTCGTTTTCAAAAATGTTTGAAAAATTTGGGACGAGAAGAAAATGGAAAGGATTATCCGTTTCGTAATCAACAAATCTAAAATAAAATTTATTTAAAGGTAAAAAACGACACTGCCTGAGATTAGAAGACATCATAAGGCCTGAGATATATAGTTCCAAAATATAATATAACAGATAAGACAAAATAACAGAACTTCATTTAGATTATCAGAATTTTCCATTTATAGTAACAAAAACAAAACTTAATTATAATAGGTAATGTCATTTTTTACGTTCAATAAATTTTATTCTCGTCCTTAATTTGTCGATTACGAAATGGATAATCCTTTCCATTTTATTCCCGTCCCGAATCTTCCAAACATTTTTGAAAACGAAAAATTTAGTTCCAAAATATAAGATAACAAATAAGACAAAATAACGGAAGTTAGTTCAGATTATCAGAACTTGCCATTTGATAGTAATAAAAACAAAACTTAATTTTATTAGGCAATGACTTTTTACCTTTAAATAAATTTTATTTTAGATTTGTCGATTACAAAACGGATAATCCTTTCTATTTTATTCTCGTTCAGAATCTTCCAAACATTTTTGAAAATGAGAAATATAGTTCTAAAATATAATATAACAAATAAGACGAAATAATAGAATTTCGTTCAGATTATCAGAACTTTCCATTTATAATAACAATAACAAAACTTAATTATATTAGGTAATGTCGTTTTTTACGTTCAATAAATTTTATTCTCGTCCTTAATTTGTCGATTATGAAACATATAATTTTTTCCATTTTATTCTCTTCCCGGATCTTCCAAACATTTTTGAAAACGAGAAATTTAGTTCCAAAATATAATATAACAGATAAGACAAAATAACAGAAGTTAGTTCAGATTATCAGATTATCGTTTTCAAACATGTTTGGAAGATTCGGGACGAGAATAAAATGGAAAGGATTATCTGTTTCGTAATCGACAAATCGAAAGTAAAATTTATTTATAGGTAAAAAAACATCATTGCCTAATAAAATTAAGTTTTGTTTTTATTACTATCAAAAGGCATGTTCTGATAATCTTAACTAACTTCCGTTATTTTGTCTTATATATTATATTATATTTTGGAACTAAATTTCTCGTTTTCAAAAATGTTTGGAAGATTCGGAACGAGAATAAAATGGAAAAGATTATCCGTTTCGTAATCGACAAATTAAGGACGAGAATAAAATTTATTGAACGTAAAAAACACATTACCTAATATAATTAAGTTTTTTTTTTGTTACTATAAATGAAAAATTCTGATAATCTGAACGAAATTCTGTTATATTATATTTTGGAATTATATTTCTTGTTTTCAAAAATGTTTGGAAGATTCGGGACGAGAATAAAATGGAAAGGATTATCCGTTTCGTAATCGAAAAATCTAAAATAAAATTTATTCAAAGGTAAAAAAGTCATTGCCTAATAAAATTAAGTTTTGTTTTTATTACTATCAAATGGCAAGTTCTGATAATCTGAACTAACTTCGTTATTTTGTCTTATCTGTTATCTTATATTTTGGAACTAAATTTCTCATTATCAAAAATGTTTGGAAGATTCGGGACGAGAATAAATTGGAAAGGATTATCCGTTTTGTAATCGACAAATTAAGGATGAGAATAAAATTTATTGAGCATAAAAACGACATT